TCTGACTGGGCAGGTTGCATAGATGATAGAAGATCAACAGGTGGTTCTGCAGTCTTCTTTGGACCTAATTTGATCTCATGGTGTGCAAAGAAACAAGCCACAGTTTCCAGGTCAAGTAATGAGGCAGAATACAAAGCATTGGCAAATGCAACAGCAGAGATTATATGGGTCATGTCCATGCTTAAGGAACTTGGCATGTCACACACCAACCCCATGTCTTTGGTATGACAATCTTGGTGCTACATAACTATCTGCTAATCCTATCTTTCATGCAAGAACCAAACACATAGAGATTGACTATCATTTTGTGAGGGAAAGAGTTGCTAATAAGGAGTTGCAGATTCGGTTTGTTCATTCAAAGGATCAAGTTGCAGATGGTTTTACAAAAGCATTGGCCACACGACCGTTTGAGGAATTCAAGCGTAATCTTAACTTGGGAAGTTCAGATTAAGGGAGGGTGTTAAAGATATATTATGGCGGCTGTTATGGATATCTTATGGCGGATGTTATGGATGTCTAGTTAAAGATCAAGATTAAACGTACATGGTTTATTAGAAGTTGATGCCTGTAACTCTCTTCTTTAACTCTCTTGTAAACCTCCGTGTATCTCTCTTACTCTCAACGTGCTACGCACAATTGTAACAATCAAGTGTATGCATTTATGGGATAAGCCCCATCCTATGAATATATAATATGCGGGCTCTCCACCAGGAGAGTTGAGACGCTTTACCCATCTTGACAGAGGTAACAGCTACCATGTCTTGTATCGGGAACACTGCTAAGAGCCCTTATTTGTCCATCTATGGTACATAACAGAACACCTGCATGACAGGCAATAGCGCTAAATATTAATAGTGCATGTTCAAAATGCTGAAATAAGCGCATACTTTACAGAGTGTCTTCTTAACCTGTTTTGCACACATCACAAAACTACAAGATTGCAATGTATGTCTAGTCAGAGTCATAGTTACCAGATTCGCTCAAACCATTGTCGAACTCTGATCTAGATCGATCGATCTAGATTGGCGTTCGAATTCGTTCGATTCATTCCAGATTTGCTGTCTGATTCGCGACCCAAGGGCGAACCGACATGGGTGTCCTTCATGTCCTCATAGTTGCTGCTTGACAGTGCTACCTCCGTCACCCTTAATTTCAAGCAAGACGGGAATAGAGTTCAACCAGTAGCACTGTCAAGGAGCAGCCTGGACGCGTCGCTGGAAGGAGATGGAAGAGAGCTGCAGCCAGCACGGAGCAGCGTGCACACGGCGCTGAGAAGGCATGGGAGCAGGCAGAAGAAGCTTCGTAAGGAGGATTTTCAGGGCCTGATTGACCAGTTGAGAAACAGATTAGGGCTCTGGCGAACTGGATTCCTCTACCAGAGCGGTCATTTAATTTTAGTCCAAGCAGTGTTATCAGCCATCCCAATCTTTCACTTAATGTCCCTTGACCATCCACCGTGGGTGTTCAAGGCCATTGACAAAATCCGCAGAGCATTCCTTCGGAAAGGTACTAATGTGGTAAAAGGTGGCCACTGCTTGGTGAGTTCGAATCAAGTTTGTCGTCCGAAGGAGAGCGGAGGACTAGGCATTCTGGACCTAAAGATCATGAGCTCCGTGCTTCGGTTGCGTTGGGCTTGGAAGGCACGTACATCAAATAATCGTGTGTGGAGCATCTTGATAAACCCTTTGGAAAATCATGAAAGGCGTCTACTCGATGCTGCTGCTCATGTTGAGTTACGTAATGGGAATAGATTTTTTTTGGACCGATAGATGGATCAATGGCGCAGCAGTAGAAGATATCACGCCGGAAGTTTTCAGTTCTGTGCCTTCAGTCGCCAGGGAGAGAAGAACAGTAGCAGAAGCAATGGTCAGTGCAGTCGGGATTATAAGGACATAAAGGGGAAAATAAATATTCGTATCTTTCATCAGGTTTTAACCTTATGGGAGGTGATTTCTGAAGTTCAGATTATACAGGTGCTGAAGACAAATGGAACTGGTCATGGAATCCTAAAGGTACCTCTCTCGAAACAGGGTTTCGCCCGCTTTATATATAAAGCAACAACCACAACAAGTACACGGCCGAATGATACAAGATGGTGAGGTAACCCTCGTACAACGCCGATCCCAAGATAAACGGATCCCATAGAACGCAAGCGACTATGCTACCGAAAGAGTACATTGGAAGAGCATAAAACAACGCAACACAAAGCCCTAAACACCTAAGTTCCACGACAACGCCCAGGAGGGAGAACGGCGCAAAGTGTCGCCGCTGTCGAGTCCAGAAGGGACAAGGGTCTTCACCCGGAACTCTGACACGGAGAGGAGCACCACGACGACGTCTTCGGAAGAGAACGGCGCCCGCGAGCGTCGCCGTCGTCGACGACAAAGCGCGGAGCTTTCGCTCGGCAGCTCCCCTATGCCCCCACGAGGTCTTCAGGACAAGTGCGGCGAGATCAGATCTCCAGGTCCGGATCAGGGCGACGCCACTGCCAAAGATAAGGAGCGTGCCCGGGCCACCACCGCTATACCTCCTGCTGTCCACACGACCAAGAGGAAAAGCCACCACACAACATGGTGCTCGCCGGAGAGCCAACCATGCGGAGCACCCTCCAGAGCCGCCGCCCCGGCATCCATGTCCGAGCCACACCACCCATCATCCACATCACGGTGCACCAACCACAGAACGGAGGAAGAGTAAAAGGCGTCTCCTTTCACTCCTAGCCCAGCATCAGTCATGGAGTTTGTGTCGATGCCTCCACGG